TGTATTTATTGGTCTTACATTAGGAAGTGTAAATTTTATACACTTTGTTTTGCTGGAATTTAATAATAGGTTATTACATGTAAACCAATTTAATATAGCAGACATAGCACAATTTACATCGTCTAATTGATTAGTTTGACGTCCAATTTTAAACACTAACGAAGTATCATCCGCAAACAGCACTATATCTGCAATTTTCTCTACCATAAAGGGAAGGTCATTTATAAATTAAAAGAGAAAGGGGCCTAAGATTGACCCTTGTGGAACGCCCATCCCAATATTAGCTCCCTTAGATTTTATACCGTCAATATCTACAGTTTGGACCCTATCCTCTAAATAAGTTCTCATTAATTTTAGATCATTATCTTTTATACCATAATGTTCGAGCTTGTACAAAAGTGTTTTATGATCCACGCAATCAAATGCCTTTGATAGGTCACAAAAAACTCCGAGTGCATCCTGTGACTTCTCCCATGATTATCCTAAGTTGAAAATATGTGTTATCAGCGCTACACCTGCGTCAGTGGTAGACTTGCCGGCGGTGAAACCATATTGTTGACTGTGAAGCAGTCGGTTATCCCTGAAGTGTTGTAACATTTGATTTAACATTATCTTTTCAAACACCTTACTTAGAACTGGCAAAATAGATATAGGTCTATAGTTCCCTGGCTCAAATTTATCTCCTGATTTAAATAGTGGGATTAATTTGCTAAATTTCATTAATTGTGGAAAAGTCCCATTATCAATACATTTATTAAAAATAGTAGCTAGATATGGAGCAACAATATCTATGAAAGAACTAACTACTTTTACAGACATGCCCCAAAGGTCTTCTGTATTTTTAAATTTAGATGTTTGAATATTTTTATGATATGAACGGGGCTAACATGTGAAAATTTAAATCTTAAAGCACAACAACCGATATTAGACTCTAGTAATATTTTTGCTCGAGATGGAGATGAGTCCAGAGAAGATGTAATATTAATCGGAATATTAGCAAAAAAATCTTCAAAAACATTAACTACATCTTTTGTTGCTGTTATTAATTTATTATCATAATTTAATGCAAATTGATTATAGGCTAATTTAGATCTTCCGGTTTCTTTATTTATAATGCCCCAGATGGTTTTAATTTTGTCAGAAGACTGGTTAATTTGTTTATTAATATAATTAGATTTAGCCGTAATACAAACTTTTTTAAAAATTTTTGAATAATTTTTCACATAAGTGGTGAATTTGTCATCAAATCGATATTTTTTTTGATCGTATAAATCAAACAAAATATTTCTACTTTTAAGTATACGTACTGTTGCCCATTCCGTGAATTTAGATTTAACATAAACTTCTTTTTTCTTGAAAAATTGTTCATATTTTCCTGATAGAATAGTAATTAGCTTGGTGTAAAGATAATCAGGATTATTACTATATTGTAACAGCAAATCCAATTTATTTTTAATTGCGCTTTTGTATTTGTTAATATTGTAAACATTTATTTGTCTTTTTGATTTTTTATTATTGTTGACTTTATTGATCTGACTGTTAAACTTAACAACTTGACCACAGTGATCTGAAGGAAGTTTATTTATTATGAATTTTTCTGTATACTCACAGTTACAAAAAACATTGTCAAGACAAGTAGCAGACGTGGCAGTTACACGAGTGGGTTCATGAAAGACATGACTTAAATCAAATGACTGAAATAAACTAATAATTTTTGTACATGTGGGTGTGTTACAAAGAATATCAACGTTAAAATCTCCACATACAATAATTTTTTTAAGACTATTAAATATTTTTTTTAAAATATCCTCCATCACCCCTTCAAAAACATTGTAATCACTATTAGGAGGCCTGTACACACATATAAGGATATAATTTTCTAGTTCTATACAAGATAATTCTATACAACACTCAATAGAAAGTCTAACAATGTCAGCACGTTCCTTTACTTTAATATTATTTCTTGCAATTATCATAGACCCGCCTCTGTTAACTGACTTTCTATTGAAGCAGCTGACAACGTTATAATTATTTAAATTGAACATCATATTGCTCTCTTTAAGCCAATGTTCTGTGAAACAGACAATATCAATATTATACTTTTCTAAAAATAATTGTATAATTAACTCGCTGCCGGGAAAACTTTGTATGTTCTGATGAACAATTATTAATTCTGATTGCTTTCCCTTTGTCTTTGTGAGCAGTTTAAATCTGCAGTCATAGTATTTATGTCACAAATATTAATAGAATTATTTGTTATGTCAGTATTTTTATGTTTAAGTTTACCATGTAAACTGTTCATGTAGTCAATATTATAAGCCACTAAAGTGGCTATTTTATTTTTAGATGATTTAGAGAGATACATTGTATCTTTTGTCAAATAAAAATCACTAATAAAACTATTAGTATCAAAAAATGTAAAAATGTCACTATGACGACATGTCAACATATGTAATAAGTTATTCAGGTAATGTACCTTACTGTTAATTTTTTTATGAAGATGTCTATTTGTGTAAGGAAAAGCGCACAATACAATCTTATACACATTTAATTGTAATAAATATTATATATTCCTTTAATTACATCCTGCCTATTTAATTGAATACTATTACCAAAAAATAACACAATTGTGGTCATATTGTTCATTTTTATAGATTTAATTTTATTTATTATTTGTGTAAATGATGCTTCTGGCATACAGTAGTTTAATAAATCACCCTTAAGATGATACTTCAAAATAGATCCAAAGTTACAGCCTATTCTGTCAGAGAACACCATTGTGCTACTCTTAGGGTTACAGTCACTGGCACAAACACCCTGAACTTCATTTTCCAGCACAGATATAACTGAATTATTATTTGATATATTTGTGTGATTACATGTACAATGCTTAGTCAACGACTCAAAACGGTCAGCATTGTATTTACTGACATCAATCAGATCATCCATTGCTAAAATATGCTCCTGGATTTGTTTCTGAGAGATAATATACTTTGTATTTAAATCATGAAGTGAAGATTCTAAACTATTGATTTTTGTAGTTAGGTAGTCTGTATCAATGTCATATAACTTTTGGCTTTCCAATAACTTATTATTACACTTATTAATATAATCATGCAATTTTAAATTATTTAAAGTATTTCTTTTCAATAACTGACCCTTTTTACAACGCTTATTTAATATATTCCGAGTCCTAATAATAAACTTTTTTAGTTTTAAATATTTCTTTAATTTATTATGACTCAACATACAAATGTTATTGTTATAGTTGCCTAATTTAGGAGATGTATCACTAGTATGGTCAATCACAACAGGATGAGTGTATGGAACTGTAGTCGAAGGAGGCACACAGTCAACACTAATAAGTTCCTCATATAAATTACTAATCTCATTACTTCGCTGAGATTCCAATCTTGTGTCTAGATCATTAATTTTAGAATAGGCCTGCTTTAACTCAAGGACTAAATTAGTACCGTAGTTTAGTCAGGACTAAATTAGTACCCTAGTTTAGTCTGGACTAAATTAGTACCCTAGTTTAGTCTGGACTAAATTAGTACCCTAGTTTAGTCTGGACTAAATTAGTACCCTAGTTTAGTCTGGACTAAATTAGTACCCTAGTTTAGTCAGGACTAAATTAGTACCCTAGTTTAGTCAGGACTAAATTAGTACCCTAGTTTAGTCAGGACTAAATTTACCCTAGTTTAGTCAGGACTAAATTGTACCCTAGTTTAGTCAGGACTAAATTAGTACCCTAGTTTAGTCATGGACTAAATTAGTATTTTTTAGTCAGGACTAAATTAGTACCCTAGTTTAGTCATCACTAAATTAGTACCCTAGTTTAGTCAGGACTAAATTAATCTCGTAGTTTAGTCAGGACTAAATTATATGTAGTTTAGTCAGGACTAAATTAGCTATAGTACCCTAGTTTAGTCAGGACTAAAAGTTAGTTTAGTCAGACTAAATTATTATATTTAGTCAGGACTAAATTAGTAGTTTAGTTAATTTTTTAGGACTAAATTAGTACCCTAGTTTAGTCAGGACTAAATTAGTACCCTAGTTTAGTCAGGACTAAATTAGTACCCTAGTTTTTTATTACGGATGATAATGGAATTGTGCACCTGCCTGCGCTAACGGTGTACACTGGTGGGGCACCAATGGAGGATGATAAGAACATGAGGTCAGGTCAGTTAGCCCATCGTGACAAATTCACCATGAATTTATCACGGTTTTCAGGGGAACCGCGTGAAGGTCAACCTGACATGGTACATTGCTAGCAATAAGATTAATCTACATTACTAACTCGCGTTTCCCCCCTATACCCTAGTTTAGTCAGGACCAAATTAAACTAGCTTAATGAGAACTAAATTAGTTCCCTAAGGGGACGAGACTAGGGATTGAACTTGTAAATAGAAATTAAAACATCAATTTGTTATAATATTTATTAGTAAATTGTGAAGACGGATATTTCATATGTAGCTTGATATATAAGTCACAACATACTCGTAAATTGGTGGGCAGGGAAGTGAGCAGCGCGAGAGTGTAAACACGATATGTCCCGTGCCATTAGCTCTGCTCGGCGCTCCCTCGAATGTCGATTGATTGACTGGCAGCGCGAGTGGCAGCGTGTTTTTACATTCAGCCCTCTCACTCAGTTGTCGTCCGGTGTTTTAAGCGGAAGATAAGCAAGAGTAGAGATAGAGAGAGTCGCCCGGTAAATAAGTATGAGGGCTGAGTGTAAACGACACTCACGACACGCGGCAATATTTCCGGCAGCGCGAGTGGCAGGGGAAGCGTCTGGATGTAAACGTAATATAAAGTTAAACATTTATTTAAAAGAGCAACACGCAAGTTTCTCGTACTTCTTGCGATGAGACAGCTTTCCGAATGAGCGGTAGATTGTAAAATATAACTATTCAAAAGTGCTTAAATTTAAGTTTATTTGATTCTTCGAAAAGGTTTTTCTTCAATGATCGGGTTTGGATTATAATTTGTCTGTTTGTTTATTCTGTAAACGAGATAGTTATTTGCGTGCACCCCACAGTGTTTTGACCTTGCACGAGGTAACTTCTGACCCTGTAGGTGCCGTATATACCCTCTGTTGGTAGCTGGTAGTCTTTATAGCTGTACACGTAGTCACTGAATTGATATTCATCCTGAAAAATAACAATAAATAGTATAAACATACCATTATTATATAAATAAACTAGCTGTACCCTCGACTTCGTCCGCGTGGAATTTAACTTTACTTTTCTAAAATAAAAGTAGTCTAAGTTACTCCTTATTACATCAGCTACCGGCCAATAAAAGTCCCGTCCCGCCATTTCAGAGATTAGCCGGACCAAACAGACAGACAAACATTGTAAAAAAATTTTATTTTGGTGTATGTTCCGTATTTATATTCATATAGTAAAAAAACGGTTATTTCAACATTACAAACAGACAGTTTATATACATATATAAACCTGCCTCTAGAATCACTATCTACTAAAATAAACCGCTTCAAAATCTGTTGCCTAGTTTAAAAGATTTAAGCACATAAGGACAGACAGCGACAGCGACTTTGTTTTATGCTATATAATGGAGATATATAAAAAAAATTTGCCAGGTCAAATAAAAACCACTTACCGGGGGTATTGGGTAGTAGAAGGGGTATGTTTCTGACGCCTCATGGCACTGCCCTTGATCTGTATTCTTGGTGTACCTGTATATGAATTGACTGTAGGTCTCGCTGGTGGCCCTCTCATCTGCACCACCATCCAGCCTGTTATACTTCAAAGTAACCTGTGGGACACAGTCACCTAGATACATCAAAATAATAAATGTATTTAATAATGTCTAGTAAGACAAACTCAATATTGTGTACTAAGCACTGCCGTGTCTGAACTGTGTCACTCCACCTTACATTTTCGTATTGTTATCTAAATATAACTCAAAGGTGACTGATATAGTGATCTATCAACGCACAGCCCAAACCACTGGACGGATCGAGCTGGAATCTAAATATATATAACTGATAACTGACTGATCTATCAACGCACAGCCCAAACCACTGGACGGATCGGGCTGAAATCTAAATATATATAACTCAAAGATGACTGACAGTGATCTATAACGCACAGCCCAAACCACTGGACGGATCGAGCTGGAATCTAAATATATATAACTCAAAGGTAACTGACATAGTGATCTATCAACGCACAGCCCAAACCACTGGACAGATCGAGTTGGAATCTAAATATATATAACTCAAAGGTAACTGACATAGTGATCTATCAACGCACAGCCCAAACCACTGGACGGATCGGGCTGAAATCTAAATATATATAACTCAAAGGTGACTGACATAGTGATCTATCAACGCACAGCCCAAACCACTGGACGCTGATCTAAATATATATAACTCAAAGATGATTGACATAGTGGAAGCCCAAACCACTGGACGGATTGAAATCTAAATATATATAACTCAAAGGTGACTGACATAGTGATCTATCAACGCACAGCCCAAACCACTGGACGGATCGAGCTGGAATCTAAATATATATAACTCAAAGGTAACTGACATAGTGATCTATCAACGCACAGCCCAAACCACTGGACGGATCGGGCTGAAATCTAAATATATATAACTCAAAGATGACTGACAGTGATCTATAACGCACAGCCCAAACCACTGGACGGATCGAGCTGAAATTTGGCATGCAGGTAGATGTTATGACGTTGTCATCCGCTAAGAAAGGATTTAGTTAATTCTCCCTTCAAGGGGATAAAATAGGGGATGAAATTTTGTCAATTTTAAACCGATCGGGCTGATCGCGATATGGTGCGTTTGAGGTCGTAGTCTTCGCCGGCGAGGACGGTGTCGTGATTGTATGTAAAAGTGTGGTCAGGACGGACAATCAGAAAAATGAATCAGAACTCACCGAAAACGAGTCATCAATGCCATCAGGCAAGTTCAGGATTCCATCAAACACATCAGCAGTGCTATTAACTTCTTGCCTGCTCAAATACAGGTCGCTGGGGTATTCCACATCGCATGCGCCTAACTCCTGAATCGCCCAGTTGCCAGGACCCTAAAAATAAAAAAAAAATTGTAAAATTCAAAATATCTTTATTCATGTAGATCTATTACAGACTCTTATGATATGTCAAATCTACCGTCAGTTCGGAATGTACCCAGACCGATACAAACAATCATACCAATGAATACAAACGTTTGTGCCGTGCGAGGAATCGAACCCGCGACCATCGGAAGTAAGGTGGTATTAGAAGTAAGAAATTTAATTAAAGAATAATAATAATAATTAAGTTTAGGAGAAAAACAATAAAATTACTTACAGACTCATTCCCACCATATAGGTTTAAGACATTAACAAATATAGAATTTAGCAGGCAACAGACAATCGTCTCCAGCATCGTGCTAGAATGTTCTAGAATGAATACAGAAGTATTCACTGCGTACAGCTGAACTATTGCTGGATCCAGCTTTGGGTCGGCTATTTATATTTTTTTCATGCTATTTATTGATACTGTATAAACAGACTCATTTTATATACTGTTATTTATATATGAAAATATAAAACGAGTTATTATATATGTAAATATGAATGTACGTAATTCTTTTATGAAAATACCAGAATATACAATGTACATAGACCGTTGAAATTTTATGAATATTCTCAGAATATATACATATAAATAAAACTGGAGTGTCTGTTTGTAATATTGAAATAACTGTTTATTACTACGTGCATATGAATATAAATACGGTACATACACCAAAATAACATTTTTTACAATTTTTCTTTGTCTGTCTGTTTGTTCCGGCTAATCTCTGAAATGACTGGACGGATTTTGACGGGACTTTTATTGGCAGGTAGCGGATGTAATAGCTGATGTAATAATGAGTAACTTAGAATACTTTTATTTTATATCATTATTGTAAGATGTACTTGTTAAGAAAAATTGTCTGATTAACTTTTTTGTTAAATTCGCGGATACAGCTAGTATTATATTATAACTAGCTATATACCGCGGTTTTATCATTGGAATTGCTATAAAAAATATCATTATTAATAAAGTCTAGGATATTATTTATTTGTGTATGAAATTTTATACGTATTCGTTTAGTAGTTTTTATGCAAAAGAGTAATAAACATACGGAAAGCAGTCTTATCACAAATCGAATCAAATAATTTATTCATGTAGGACATTTTAGCCGCTTATGAACGTAAAATGTTTTGTATTAACATTTTTCCCAACCGTCCAGTTTAGTATACAGATTCAATTGAGAAGAACTGGTAAGAAACTCAATTGATTTTTTTTGTAAAGCCAGTTTATTTACAACTAGCTTTTGTCCGCGGCTTCGTTCGCTTTAATGTATCCCCTTAGGGGTGGAATTTATCAAAATCCTTTCTTAGGGGATACCAAAGTCTCGATAGCCACGGTCATAACATCTACCTGCATGCCAAATTTCAGGCCGATCCGTCCAGTGGTTTGGGCTGTGCGTTGATAGATCACTATGTCAGTCACCTTTGAGTTATATATATTTAGATTTATATTTATATAGGTGTCTATGTCTAACATTAAATGAAAATCCCGTGCATGAACAACTATTGCCATGCACGCTCGTCATTCAAGTAATCGTTTAGTGAGTAATAAGAGTAGAGGAAGAACGAGCAAGAAGCTTCTTGAAGTTTTCTCGAGAGACTACAGCATGGGGTTTTTAAAGAAGGGTATATTAAGGTTTCTTAAGGGTCGGCAACGCGTGACACCCCTGGTGTTTCAGGCGTCCATAGGCTACGGTAACCGTTTACCATCAGATGGGCCGTATGCCTGTCTGCCACCATCGTAGTCTTAACACTTGCATGTAACTCTTTTAAATAATTGTTGTAACTTTACATTTTTAAGTCGAAACGTGTGAATACAAACTACCAACTAGCACTAATTTATGAGAGATAAAACATTAAATATACAACCAACTAGTTGAGTAACTGAAGAGTAAATTAGTCATAGTGATTAGAGCAGACCAGTCCCTACAAGCAGCACTCGTTCACGAGTATGATGGATGAGCCAGCCATCACTGCGCTCAACCATATTTAAAGTGTGTAATGACCTGGAGAGAACTCTATTGTTCTCAGTAAAAACAACGTGCATCAAGTACCATGGGTTTCAAAATCTATTGTGTGATGATGGATACCATGTCATATATATGTTTTTTTATAGCATAAGAGACAAACGAGCTTGCGGCTCATCTGATGGTAAGTGATTACCGCCGCCCATGAGCACTCGCAACGCCAGGGGCATTGCAAGTGCGATACCGGCCTTTTAAGAAGGAATAAGCTCTTTTCTTGAAGGTTTCAATATCGGTTGGGAAATACCATTGCTGGAAGGTGATCCCACAATGTGGTTGTGCGTGGCAAAAAGTGGGAAACGCACTGTGGAGGACCGCCATTCATCCAGATGATCAGGATGGTATTTCAGTTTCTGGCGGGTGGTACGGTGGTGAAACTCAGCAGCTGGTATTAATCCGAACAATTCCTCAGAACACTCCCTGTGATATATGCCGTAGAAAATGCACAGAGATACAATGTCACGCCGCAAAGCCAATGGGTCGAGTCTGTCACATAGACGTTTATATATATACTAGCTGTCCCGGCAAACGTTGTTTTGCCATATAAATTAATAACGCTATAAAAAAATAGGGGTTGATGATAGAAGGGTAAAATTTAGGATTGTATGTATTTTTGTATATTGTATCATAAAAAAATAGAAACTATAAATTTTGTCTACAAAATAAAAATTTAGGGTATTTTTCATTCCCCTAACATTTAGGGGATGAAAAATAGATGTTGGCCGATTCTCAGACCTACTCAATACGCTCACAAAATTTCATGAGAATCGGTCAAGCCGTTTCGGAGGAGTATGGGAACGAAAACTGTGACACGAGAATTTTATATATAAGATTATAGATTATCTTTTGCCTCATTGAGAATGCAACATTTAAAATTATCGAGCGCGTGAACAGGAACCAAACAGAAACTTGTTTCCTTCGTTGCAGTTCATACTAGAAAACTGCACTGTGGAGGACCGCCATTCATCCAGATGATCAGGATGGTATTTTAGTTTCTGGCGGGTGGTACGGGAAACGCAGCTGGTATTATAATATGTTACCATTTGCTGTCGCTTCTCAACAAGGATTAGAATAATTTAGAAGACCCTTGTCTATCTATCTATGTTAATAATTCCATAGGGTACGGTAGATCCATAGGGTAGTTCCATAGGGTATCTATATTAATAGTTCCAAGGGGTATGGTAGACTCGAACGAAAGCTTATGTGAATAACAAAACATAAAATAATATTGATTTCGGGTCGACAACATATATCCGCAAAATTCGGATTATGGAGTATTTCGTTAAATTCTAATGACACTGACAAACAAACCGCAGTCGCCATCTTTTCATTTCACTAGCATTTTCTTCGGTCGTTGACGTTTCGCGAAAATATTGTTTTTGACACTTTTTTATGATAAAAGAGTATGTTTTTTCTTTAAACCCGAAATTGGCCGATTTCGAGACAAATTTGGCAATTTTTTTTATTAATTTGTTTTACGGCTCTGGATACAAGTTCTTTTTAGACCAACTTAAAGTTTTAAAAAAAACATTAAAATTATTTGTATAATAACTTTTGCACTTTTTATTTAGTATATTTATTAAACACAATGAACGTAGCTTCACAAATCTATGCCTTGCTTACTTTTAATATTCCATGAGAACCGATGACTACAGAAATATCTACCCACATTTCACCCGAGCGAAGCCGTGTTTGCATCTAGTTTATATTAAAATATTTTAATGACTGTTAGTAATTTGATGAGAAATAACTCAGAAACTACTTATCTTAATGTTACTTTCTCTACTGGTCCGGAAGAGATTGCTTAGCGATTAGATCGCCTTTTGTATCAGTTTATGTAAAATATCATTTAGTGTGTTTTCTTTGTCTGGTGCAATAAAGAGTTTAAATATTGACGACCTCGGTGGTCTAGCGGTCAAGCACACCGCTTTACGACCGATGGTCGCGGGTTCGATTCCTCGCACGGCACAAACATTTGTATACATGAGTATGATTGTTTGTATCGGTCTGGGTGTTTTCGATGTATAATATGTATGTATTTACAAAAAAAAATATCTATGTATACGTATCAGTTATCTAGTACCCATAACACAAACTCTAGCTAGCTTAACTTGGGTCTAGATGGCTCTCTGTGAATTGTCCTGAGATTATTATTATTATTAAATAAATAAATAAATAAAAGTAACGATGAAAGATTCATCCCAGAAAATAGTACGAGGTAATTCTGCTGTAGAAATAAAAATAATCTTTATTCACATAAACTTAATATAAGCACTTTTGAATAGTCATATTTTGTACTCTACCACTCATTCGGAACGCAAATTCATCACAAATATAACATACAAACATTGTATTTCATAAGTATGATTGTTTACATCAATCTAAAATAGAAATACACAAGTTTCTCTCTCATTCTTCTTGTGATGAGTCTGCGTTCCGAATGAGTGGTAGAATAAAAAAATAAAATAATGTTTTTATTCGAAAGTGCTTATATTTTTATTCTATAATATTGATGTAGGTAAAGGTAAAGAAGGTAGTTTGTGTACAGTACTAATGACTATTCTAAAGTGCTTTTGTAATGTTTAATTGAATAAAAAAAACATCTATTAAAAAGAGCAAGACACAAGTTTCTTGCTCATTCTTCTTGTGATGAGTCTGCGTTCCGAATGAGTGGTAGAATCAAAATATGACTATTCAAAAGTGCTTGTAATGAGTTTATTTGAATGAAGATTATTTCTATATATAGAAATAGAAATAATCTTTATTCAATTAAACATTACAAAAGCACTTTAGACTGGGCGTTAGTGTACATGTATATTTATTTATTTTATTTATTCATAACAATAATTATTGTGTCGAATTTCAAAGTACAAAATTATATAATCTAAATCCAAAATAACACTGTCAAAATAATAATAATACCAATAGAAAGAGAAATAGAAATAATCTTCATTCAAATAAACTCATTACAAGCACTTTTGAATAGTCATATTTTGATTCTACCACTCATTCGGAACGCAGACTCATCACAAGAAGAATGAGCAAGAAACTTGTGTCTTGCTCTTTTTAATAGATGTTTTTTTATATAAATAAATACAATACAACATAGAAATCGCTACGCACTCATTATTAGTGTAATCAGATAATATTGTCAGTGCTATGGATTTTAAGTTTTTCTATAAAAACATTATTATCGTTAACGAATTCTTCAATTTTATAGTAAGCTTTTTTGCAAAGGAACTGTTTTATTTATCACTAGCTTTTGACTGCGGCTTCGCTCGCGTTAATTTATCCCTTAGGGATGGAATTTATAAAATTCCTTTCTTAGCGGATGCCTACGTCATAACATCTACCTGCATGCCAAATTTCAGCCCGATCCGTCCAGTGGTTTGGGCTGTGCGTTGATAGATCACTATGGCAGTCACCTTTGAGTTATATATATTTAGATTTAAATCTTTTTTCTGGCAGTTTTATAACTGACTCTGGTATTTTGTATGCCAATAATACTTTCCGAATTGAGCTACAGTAACGGTCATTCATCAAAAAGTTTGTCAACGGAATAAAATCATTTTTTAAGTTTAATTTTGAAATTGGTTTTATAAATCTTTCATTTATGCATTATATATTTATTTATGCATCTTTTAAATCACTAGGCAATATATTGTATACATATATATATCTATCAGGTATTATTTTATATTTTTAATATATTTATACATAATTATAGTATTGTTTAGTGTAATAAATATGTTTTTAAATTGAATACTCATAGTTATTGGATGGTAATGGCAAACAGTTTTATAGCCAGCTGTTTGTGCATGTTGTTTTGCCTGTATGTTTGCACAGCGTGTATTTACATATGTATATTCTATTTTTGCTATTGTTCAACACTATTATTAAAGCAGAGATAATATAATTTACGATATAAAATATATGATCTCTCATTAAATGTAACTGTTTGTTAAAAAATATGCTAAATGTAATGATATTGATTTACAAAACAGCATATATAGTATCATTACACAGTATAAAACAAAGTCGCTGTCGCTGTCTGTCCCTATGTATGCTTAAATCTTTAAAACTACGCAACGGATTTTGAAGTGGTTATTTTAATTCAAATTCAAAAATCATTTATTCATGTAGGACATTTTAGCCGCTTATGAAAGTCAAGTTATTCACATTATAATTTTAATTTTTTCCCTACCATCCAGTTCCGTATATAGATCCAATTGAGAAAAACTGGCAAGAAACTCAAATGAATTACTTTTTTTTAAGCCAGTTTATTTACAATGTATATTTATATAGGTGTCTATGTCTAACATTAAATGAAAATCCCGTGCATGAACAACTATTGCCATGCACGCTCGTCATTCAAGTAATCGTTTAGTGAGTAATAGGCCTTGCTCAGTAAATATGATTTAACAGATGTATATATAACAGATAGAGTGATTCAAGAGGATGGTTTATATGTATAATAAATGTACACCCGTGCGGAGCCGGTGTGTGTAGTTAGTATATGGTATAAAATATATGATCTCTAATCAAATGTAACTATTTGATAAAAATACGCTCAATCTTATATATAAATTCAAATTCAAAAAAAAAATCTCAAAATTCTCGTGTCACAGTTTTCGTTCCCATACTCCTCCGAAAGGGCTTAACCGATTCTCATGAAATTTTGTGAGCGTCTTGAGTAGGTCTGAGAATCGGCCGATATCTATTTTTCATCCCCCTAAATGTTAGGGGTAGTCCACCCCTAATTTTTTTTATTTTAAGTCAAAACAACGTTTGCCGGGACAGTTAGTTATATATATGAATGGAATTTATTTACAAAACAAGTATACTCGTATATAGTATTTATTTTAAATATTCAGTGAATGTATAGTCCATGATGGTATAGTGGTTTAGTAACGATAGTCACGGCTTTAATTAACGAATGTCACGGGTTCGAAACGTATTGTCTGTGTCAAAATTAAAGTTATATATTTTCTTCTCTTTTGTCCGCATGACTCGTCTTTCAGGTGTCTCATGCTACCATCCTCCACTGGTGCTCTGTCAGCGTATATTCAAATTCAAATTCAAAATATCTATATTCATGTAGGTCTATTATTGACTCTTATGATATGTCAAATCTACCGTCAGTTCGGAATGATTTCGAGATGAGAACTGACAAGAAACTCAGCTCGTATTCTTTTAATTAAATGTTGTACATGTTTACAATAATACAGATTCATTTAAATTCAAACTTGGGAGAATAGAGTGACCACCAGCATATGATATTGCATATAGATAACGCAGGCAATATAATTATTAATGGATGATAATGTAATGGTGCACCCCCATTACATTATCATCCATTAATAATAATAATAACCTAGGACAAACACACTACGCTATCTAGTCCAAAGAACAAGAATAGAATAGAATAGAAAATCATTTATTGAAATAAACTTACATTGAAGCACTTTTGAATAGTCATTACATTTTTTAATCTACCGCTCGTTCGGAAAGCTGTCTCATCACAAGAAGAACGAGCAAGGAACTTGCGTGTTGCTCTTTTAAAGAATTCAAATAGAAAAAATATTAAATACACAACCAACTGGTTAAGTAACTAAAGAGTAAATCAGTCGTAGTGATAAGAGCTGACCAGTCCCTACAAGCAGCACTCGTTAACGAGTATGATGGATGAGCCAGCCATCACTGCGCTCGACCATATTTTAGGGAGCCCAATATATGTATAATATTTTCTCTATTTGAGTATTTAATTGAATTAGTGCTAATTGGTGGTTTGTATTCACACACTTGAACTTAAAAATGTAAAGTAATAATACAATTATTTAAATAAAGTAATAATAAAATAATTTATTATGCTCTTTTGAGCAACACGCAAGTTTCTTTCTCGTTCTTCTTGTGATGAGACAGCTTTCCGAATGAGCGGTAGATTAAAAAAATGTTATGACTATTCAAAAGTGCTTCAATGTAAGTTTATTTGAATAAATGATTTTCTATCCTATTCTTATGCTCAAATATTTAAAACTACGCAACGGATTTTTTTTTTAGTTTTTTTAATAGATAGAGTGATTCAAGAGGAAGGTTTATATGTATAATACGTGTACACAGACAAAGCCGGGGCGAGTAGCTAGTTAACAGTAAGTTGTTTATTCCACACTCTTCGAAACGCGAAAGTTATACAAAGACATACACAAACATTCTGTACAAGTGTGCCAAATATGCAGTCAGTCATATGCATGACCCTCAAAACCGAGGCCAATTACAAGTACATATATATATATATAGTATTTTGCTAATCGTCTTCTATATATATGATTTAAGTATTATTAGTAATTAGGTAGAGTAGTTTTTACTTTTGTTTAGCGTGTATAAAATTAGGGCCTACAAAATCTAAGAAGGTTTGTGCAAACTTTCATCCCTTATTTTGTCCCCTTGGGGCAGAATTAATCAAAATCCTTTCTTAGCGGAAACCTACGTTATAACATCTACCTGCTTGCCAAATTTCAACCCGATCCGTCCAGTGGTTTGGACTGTGTGTTGAAAGATCACTACGTCAGTCACCTTTGAGTTATATGTATTTAGATTACGTGTCACGTTGTTCGTCCGCGATGGACTCCTAAACTACTGAACCGATTGCAAATTTGATTTGCATATTGTGTGAAATTTGATCCAACTTGAAAGATAGGATAGCTTACATCTCAATTTATAGTCGCAATATTATTTTATTCAAGAACCTTAGACACAGCAACGCGATCACGAGTCTGATAATATATTTAATACTCCAAACAAAAACTTTAAACTGCTTGTAGGGACTGGTCTGCTCTTATCACTACGACTGATTTAATCTTATTGTATATTTATATTTGACCCAAAAATATAGTGCTGGTTGGTAGTTTGTATTCACACGTTTTGACTTGTAAATGTAAACTTACAAGGATTATTTAAAAGAGCAACACACAAGTTTCTTGCTCGTTCTTCTTGTGATGAATCTGCATTCCGAATGAGTGGTAGAATCAAAATATGACTATTCAAAAGTGCTTGTAATGAGTTTATTTGAATAAAGATTATTTCTATTTCTATTTTGTTTTTTATTAGTCATCGCTTTACACACATAACGGCTGAATACTATTCTTCTATTCTAAAGAGCAAAACGTGGGACTGACGGACCTGGTAGCAATAAGTGATATTCATTTAACAGAAAAAAAACTGTTATTTAGTACCGATGTTTCGATATATCGATAAAGAAATGAATGATATGAAACAAACATCGATATTCTTATTCGATGTTATTCGTACATCGATATATCGATATTTTTCTGAAATTAATCATCACTATCACCTTAAGCTTAACATATTTACAAGACCATGATCCGGACTGGTGTCTTGTATGGATCAGAGTGCTGGCCCGTAAAGGCGACGGATGAAAGACGACTGCATGCAACTGAAATGAGAATGTTGAGGTGGATGTGTGGTGTGACAAGAATGGATAAGATAAGGAATGAATACATTAGAGGAAGTGTGAAAGTGGCGCCGGTGTCAGAGAGGTTGAAGAGTAATCGTCTATCATGGTATGGACATGTAATGCGTAGGAACGAGGATAATATTTTAAGAAAGGTGTTACATATGAATGTGGATGGTTATAAGGGCAGAGGAAGGCCGAAAAAGAGATGGATGGACTGTGTGAAAGATGATATGGTGAGAAAGGAAGTAAATAACGAGATGACTGCGAACAGGGATGAATGGAAGAGAAAAACATATTACGACGACCACAAATAAATGGGATAAGGAAGAAGCAGATGATGATGATTAATCATCACTATCACATACAGCACAACCGACATCACGTTATCATATCACTCCCGTTATACTCATGCGTTGTCATTTCTGAAGACGCCACTATCACGCCTCGTACCATGTTTTTTTTAAATCAAATCAAATTTATTTGCACTAAACATAGGTAATGTAATATAGTTAATGTAATGTAATAATAATAAACAAAGTAACAATAAACAAAACTTTATTTTTTATAGCATAAGGGACAAACGAGCTTTCGGCTCAGATTTAATAATATTAATAATAAAAATAGTAAAGACAGAGAACACTTTATTTTTTATAGCATAGGGGACAAAGAAGCTTGCGGCTCAACTGATGGTAAAATTACCCTTCAAGACTGGGGGAATGGCAAGTGAGTTATAGTAAGGAATAAGCTGTTGAAAGTTTCAATTAATACATCGAAGAGAATTCTGTAAGTTATATTGTTGGGTTTACTCGAAGGCGATCTTCAGGATGGTACAGCCGAGGGTCTGCTGACCACGTACCAGCAGCGCCGTGACCCTGTACACGCCGTAGATTCCTACAGTGGGCAGGTAGTAATCCTTATAGTTGTAGACATAGTCTGTGAACCTGTAGTTGCCCTGAAAAAGATTACAAGATTCGTTTAATACTAGCTAACCAGCGCAGCTTCGTCTGCATTACACTTGACATTTATAATTATACTAGATTTTGCCTGCAGCTTCGCTCGCGTTGGGATGTCCTCTTAGCGGTGGAATTCATCAAAATCCTTTCTTAGGGGATGGCTACGTCATAGTCATATCAGAATAGCATATAGGCTATAAATTTCACGCAGGAAAAACCGCGGGAACAGCTATCTAAATATATATAACTCAAAGGTGACTGACATAGTGATCTATCAACGCACAGCCCAAACCACTGGACGGATCGAGCTGAAATGTGGCATGCAGGTAGATGTTATGACGTAGGCAACCGCTAAGAAAGGATTTTGATTAATTATACCCCCAAGGGGATAAATTAATGCGAGCGAAGCCGCGGGCAAAAGCGAGTTTACGCATTTCTGGATCCTTAAAAACTCGTTACGTAAAAGTCGACTGTTGATGGTATTGCGGGTAATTTTGTATGATCATACTCGTGAACGGGTGCTGCTTGTAGGGACTGGTCTGCTCTTATCACTACGACTGATTTAATCTTATTGTATATTTATATTTGACTCAAATAAATTAGTGCTGGTTGGTAGTTTGTATTCACACGTTTCGACTTGTAAATGTAAACTTACAAGGATTATTTAAAAGAGCAACACACAAGTTTCTTGTTCTTCTTGTAATGAGACAGCTTTCCGAACGATCGGTAGATAAAAAAAAAATTTATGACTATTCGAAAGTGCTTAAATTAAGTTTATTTGAGGGGAGTTAACTGTAAGAAATCGAGCGTTCAGAATTTGTAAACGAGTTTAGCGGGAACTAGTTCAGATTGTAGCGGTGGAATGCAAAATGAAGCTTTGAACTAAACACAGTTAAAATGTTTAAACATTTTAACTGTGTTTAGTTCGGACTAAACGCGATCTGTTTACTTCGTGAAATTGGTTTTTTTTAGGTGCATGGATTTGTAGCACTGCGACCTGTATAGATCTATTGTGCTCGCCCTTTTCAAAGTTCGCTACCTAGACCCGGCAGGGACAAGAATTGAAGGATATTCTTAGGAGCGATGGTTTTTATCTCCTCGGGATAGAGTGTAAACTTTCCAAAGGAGATATTTCGTTTATGCATGAGTGGGCTACAGCCACATGGATGTGCAGTGGCGTTTCCTCTTCAGTTTGGCAGAATCTGCAGATTTTTGTTGTGCAAAATTGGACCTTAACCTCTGATGGGTAAGATGGATGGTACTCACCGCTGGTATGGGGAAATAGAAGGGATAAGTCTCAGCTGTTCTTCGGCACTGTCCTATGTTGGTGTTCACGGTGTATCTATACAGAAATTGTCCATAGGTCTGACTCGACACTCGGTTGTCTGCGCCGCCGCTGTCCAGCTTGGTGTATCTTAGAGTAATCTAAAAAGAAATTTAATTATCATTTTTTTATACTACGATGGTGGTAAACAAGCATACGGCCTATCTGATGGTCATCATAATATTATTGAAAAACCCCATGTCTCTATTGAAAACCTCGGCAGGTGGACTACCTTCCACAATCTAAGTGTACGCGGGAGGAAACTCCTCTGAAATCGAAATATAATGATACTTACAGAGTAGGTATTGTCGATTCCATACGGCAGCCTTAAGCTTCCATCATAAATATCAGCAGTGCTATTAAGTGTTTCTCTGGCGAGAACCAGACTGCTGGGGTATGGCACGATCCCGCAGTTTCCTCCTATTTCTTCCACAGACCACTGTCCTGGACCCTGGGGTAAAATGACGAGGTTTAGGTTAAAAGAGCACAGTGGATCATGGTAATGATGCTGCGGGTGAGCTGGCGAGAAGAGGATCTGGTATGGTAGCAGGCCTCCTCACGCTTCTACCATCACCCTTCTGAAATTGTCTGGAGGAGTTGGTAATAAATTTTACACGTAAAAAAAATTGAGATAGAATTTACACGTAAAAACGACTAGAGGCATTGGGATGAAATTTTACACGTAAAAATAACAGAAGAAATTAGTATGAAATTTTAAACATAAAAATGCTTTAGGAATTGGGATGAAATTTTTCACAAAAACGACTTCAGGAATTGGGATGAAATTTTACACATAAAAATGCTTTAGGAATTGGGATGAAATTTTTCACAAAAACGACTTGAGGCATTGGGATGAAATTTTACACGTAAAAATAACAGAAGAAATTAGTATGAAACTTTACACATAAAAATGCTTTAGGAATTGGGATGAAATTTTTCACAAAAATGACTTGAGGCATTGGGATGAAATTTTACACGTAAAAATAACAGAAGAAATTAGTATGAAACTTTACACGTAAAAATGCTATAGGTATTGGAATGAAACTTTAGACGTAAAAATGCTATAGATATTGGGATGAAACTTTAGACGTAAAAATGCTATAGATATTGGGATGAAACTTTAGACGGAAAAATGCTATAGATATTGGGATGAAACTTTAGACGGAAAAATGCTATTGATATTGGGATGAAACTTTAGACGTAAAAATGCTATAGATATTGGGATGAAACTTTAGACGTAAAAATGCTATAGATATTGGGATGAAACTTTAGACGGAAAAATGCTATAGGTATTGGAATGAAACTTTATACGTAAAAATGCTATAGGAATTGGGATGAAAGTATATTTTTGTTCGTTTTTCCAATAACATAATAAATCTTACTTGTGGCAAACCTCGGTAGAGGCTTAGTGTCGTCACGAAGATGGTGTTCAGTAGACTGCAGACTATTGTTGGTAACATGGTGCTGGTCCTCCAGGGCTACCTGCTCCACACTGTGCCAACACACAGATAGACTCACATTTATAATGGCTTCAACAATAATATTTTCCTTACACTTGTATAGAAAATACATATATAACATTTAATTTTTATTCTATTCATGAATAATTAACTTGTAATACAGTCTGCATAGAAAGTTTAAAATATTTTTGAAGTAATTTAATTCTTATATCAAATAGGAATATAAATGTTTTTTATTTAACACAGTTTAGGTATTACAGGAAAATAGCCGGTCCAATATGGACTCGTAAGGACAGAATGGAAATCTTTAGAGGAGGCCTATGTCGGAAGACAAGCTTTACCGTTCATTAATAATAATATAAACCAAATGTAAAAATATTAGTATAGCAATAGACTTTTTATTTTTATTTTATTTAGTCATTGACGCAGCGTAGGAAGGCCTACAGCAAGGTGGACCGACGATCTGGTCAAGATCGCTCGAAGGCATTGGATGCGAGCAGCGCAGGACCGATCGTCGTGGAGATCTTTGGGGGAGGCCTATATCCAGCAGTGGACGTCTTCCGGGCTGCGATGATGATGATGATGATTTTATTTATTTAGTTATTACTGTAAATTAGTTAAGTTTGAAGTACAGGTCATTTTTGAGTTGTCGTACTATACAAACATTTGTATTCATGAGTATGATTGTTTGTATCGGTTATGTGCGTTTATACGAATAATAGCTCGCCCCGGCTTCGTCCGGGTGTACATGTAATACATATAATCCATCCTCTAGAATCACTCTATCTATTAAAAAAAACGGTTCAAAATCCGTTGCGTATTTTTAAAGATTCATATATAGGGACGGACAGACAGCGACAGCGACTTTGTTTTATATTATGTAATTATTACGAATTCTTAAATAAATGTATCTATTTATTTGTGTCACTTGTCTAGTACACAAGCTCCGTTTAGCTTGACACTAGATGGCGCTGTGTTCATTGTCGTGAGATACATGTGCTAGTCGACATAACGAAATTTTAGTAAATTAAATTGCTGTTGTGTTGTTGACGAAAACTTACTGTAATGTTACTATCAATCTAAATATATATAACTCAAAGGTGACTGACATAGTGATCTATCAACGCACAGCCCAAACCACTGGACGGATCGGGCTGAAATCTAAATATATATAACTCAAAGGTGACTGACATAGTGATCTATCAACGCACAGCCCAAACCACTGGACGGATCGGGCTGAAATCTAAATATATATAACTCAAAGGTGACTGACATAGTGATCTACTAACGCACAGCCCAAACCACTGGAAGGATCGGGCTGAAATTTGGCATGCAGGTAGATTTTATGACGTAGGCATCCACTAAGAAAGGATTTTGATTAATTCTACCCCCAAGGGGATAAAATCCTCTATTTTATCCTCTTTAATAATAATAATATTAATAAATTTGTTATAAAAAATAGATATACACGCATACACATTTTAAAAGACAATATAAATTACAAGAAGAAAAAAAACAGTATATTAAAAAAGAAGAATCAGATTATTTATATTATATTTAAGTCCCAACATAACATTATGACACTGCTGTCCTTACTAGGTCATTGTAATGACCTGTATGAAGGACATTCCTAAATATCTATACATATAAATAAAATTGGAGTGTCTGTTTGTAATATTGAAATAACCGTTTTTTACTACATGCACATGAATATAAATACGGTACATATACCAAAATAACATTTTTTATAATTTTTGTCTGTATGTCTGTCGGTCTGTTTGTTCCGGCTAATCTCTGAAATGGTTGTACCTATTTTGACGGGTCTTTTTTTGGCAGGTAGCTGATTTAATAAGGAGTAACTTAGGCTACTTTTATTTTAGAATAACAAAGTTATAACCACGCGGACGAAGTCGCGAATGTAAGGCTGTTTGTTACACTTTCACGCAAAAACTATTGAACCGATCATCATGAAATCTTGTACACATGTTCTTGAAGGTATTAGAATGAACATAGGATTTTTATTAAAAAAAAAAACAAATATTTTTTATTCAATGCGAGCGGATAAAAGTTAGTAAACAAATAAATATGGTCAGGTAGTGTAAGATATATCAACTCTATGTAATAGTAAAAGTATGTATCATAATAAAATAACAACTATATAACAATAACTTAACTATGTCTCTAATACAATTCACTTTAGCAATTCAAATACAACCAGCACATCCTGTGCTCAAACACCGAATGCCGCGGCCTTTTTTTTTCGGACTACTCTAATGCTGGCCGCAGCTGGCCTTTACAGCTTCACCGGACGATAGGGGGCGAGTGCAGATGGCACTCCAAACCAAAGGAAGGACTTATGGAGCGGCTGAAGGCCAACTCCTGCCTGACGGATACGACTTTAGTTTGAAGGCACCACTAGGGGTTCGAACCTCGGCTCAGGCCGTCGTAATTTTGATCCTCTATCGGCCTGAGTGCCGCGGCTTACAAAAACCCTCCCTTTTATACAGAGAAGATACGAGTGGGGGTTATATGCAACTAGTTTAACGATACCGAGTAATAATGAAACTACCTTCTTTTAATATTAAATATCAGATTTTTCGACAATATCGATGTGAAACAGTAGTATATAATAAATATATAGACTCTGTTCTGAGGAATTGTTCTACATGATGCCGACAGCCACCTTTTACCATCACATCGCTCGCCATCGACAAGGAATTCATCCCCACACGCTGGAACCTAAGTGGTCCCGAACAGTGTTGTTTCAGAGGAGCTTCCTCCCGCGTACACTTACATTGTGGAATGAACTACCTGCCGAGGTTTTCCCACGAGACTACAGCATGGGGTTTTTCAAGAAGGGTATATTAAAGTTTCTTAAGGGTCGGCAACGCGTGATACCCCTGGTGTTTCAGGCGTTCATAGGCTACGGTAACCGTTTACCATCAGATGGGCCGTATGCTTGATTGCCACCATCATATTATAAAAAAAAAATATGAACCTGATATGTCGACTGTTCATAAACATACGAATTTGTTTGGACAGCCTGTGCACATTCTATTTGTGAAAGCAACTATTATGTTATTGTTGTGTCAAGTTATTGATATATTTATTAAAAGAGTATTGAAATGTATAAAACAGCATCTGTGTAAAAAATGAGTAAAAATCGAAAAACAAGTTGTGGAATGTTATTTGTTGGGGTTCAATGTTATTAGTAAGTAAAACGCTAAGTAAGTATAGATAGACTGTACAAAGTTACAAACATTAGAAAATCTATATATATATAACTCAAAGGTGACTGACATAGTGATCTATCAACTCACAGCCCAAACCACTGGACGGATCGGGCTGAAATTTGGCATGCAGGTAGATGTTATAACGTAAGCATCCGCTGAGAAAGGATTTTGATTAATTCTACCCCCAAGGGGATAAAATAGGCGATGTAAGTTTGTTTGAAACCTTGTCAATTTTAAACCGATCGGGCTGAGACATTGCATGTATAAATCTACTATGACGTAGGCATCCCCTAAGGAAGGATTTCGATAAATTCCGCCCCTAAAGGGATAAATTAACGCGAGCGAAGCCGCAGGCAAAAGCTAGTAAACTATAAAGTTTTAGTATTAAAGTCTAATGTCAAATATTACATTAGTACTTAAAAATCTAATAATCTTGCTAAATGTAAAGGATAGACTATAGAAAGTAAAAAGTTACAAACATACTTGTTTTAAAATCACTAGTATCCTGATGACTTACATAGGCGTAATGCCGGTTGGTTGGGGAGAGAAACACCTCAATGCCTACAATATTCACAATTACCTATCTCTTATTTGTTTTTATAATAATATAAACACTTTCGCTCCAAAACTCCCGCTGCCTATGTTCAATCATCCGTCATCCACTTGTCAATGTCACATAGATTACTTTGGCTCTGGCCTCTGACTGCCTGAGCCGAGGTTCGAACCCCTATCAGTGCTCTCAGACTTTCGTATCCGTCAGGCGGGAGTTGTCCTTCAGCCGCTCCATAAGTCCTTTGGTTTGTGTCATCTGCACTCGCCCCCTATCGTCCGGTGAAGCTGTAAAGGCCAGCTGCGGTCAGTATTAGTTCATTTATAATTAAGTATTCTATAGATTCTATACTTTAATAAACTTATAGTATACTTCTTCCCGCGACTTCGTCCGCGTGGAACTTAACTTTATTTTTATAAAATAAAAGTTGCCTAAGTTACTCCTTATTACACCAGCTACCTGCCAAAAAAAGTCCTGTCAAAATCGGTCCGGCCATTTCCGAGACTAGCCGGAACAAACAAACAGACAGAAAGACAGACAAAAACTGTAAAAAAAAATATTTTGGTGTATGTACCGTATTTACATTGCATGTAGTAAAAACTGTTATTACAAATCACAAACAGACACTCCAATTTTATTTATATGTATAAATAACGCACGGACAAGCAAATACACATTTACAATATTAATTAGTGTACGTGATAATAACTATTTATATATAGTGCTTGTACAGATTATAAAAGATGTGACCCTGAAATTTCGGCTGTTCAAAGTTAATAACAATCAACGAGATTTTTACAATAGCCAGTCGAGTCTGCAGACAATTGAGTATATCGATCGATTTACGCAAAAAAAGACAATTAAATGTTAAAATTGTTTGTTTAAATATTAATTAAAATGTTAAACTTGTTTAAGTATTACCTACTTGTATTTATTTTGATCAAATAGTTCGTTATAGGAGTTTTTAAGTTTGTATACGATTCGGTTTCTTGTGAAATTCTACGATATAATTTTCTTTTCAATTGGATCTATATACCGAACTGGACGGTAGGGAAAAAAATAAATTATAATGTAAAAACTTGACGTTCATAAGCGGCTAAAATGTCCTACATGAATAAATGATTTTTGTATTTTATTTAATAACTAACTGTTCCCGTAACTTCCTAAAATAAAAGTAGCCCAAGTTACTCCTTATTACATCAGCTACCTGTCAAAAA